TTACAAATTGAATTTACAAAAAATTTTAATATCAAAATTCATGCTAATGTTTTTAATATTTAATTATTATCCAAAAATTTGACTGGAATCCATTTTGAAATCAATTTTTACTAGAAAATTCTACGAGAATTTAATTATTTAAATGCAAAAATAAATAATTTATTGAATAAATTGAAAATTTCTTAATTTTTAGATAATAAAGGAAAAATTTTACTCAAAAAAAGGTTTCTGTTACATTTATTTACGAATTTCTTTAATTGTAAAATTATTTGAAAACATTAATAACTTCTTTTTTAAATTAATACTTAATTAAACTTTTTCAAAAAAATTAATTCTTTAAAATTGACAGTAAAAAATATGGAAAATTCAAAGTTTCGAATATTTTAATTTGAATCCTTTCCAAGCTTATTCAATTTTTTAAATACAAATTAAATAATTTATTGAACAACTGAATATTTCTTAAAATTAAATTCTTATAAAAAATTTTACCAAATTAAAATGCCATTAATGTACCTTTAATGGGCCGATCTTCGTCACATAACTGCCAATTGAATTTTCCCATTAAAGATTGATCAACTTTGCCGTGAATGTGCCATTATTGAGCCAAGCTGCGCCTTAATACTGGCAATTATAATTTGCCTTCAAAGATAGAAAATTTTTGCCATTAATGGGCCGATCTTCGTCACATCACTGTCAATTGAATTTTGCCATTAAAGATTGATCAACTTTGCCAATATTGTGCCGTTATTGAGCCAAGCTACTCCCCAATACTGGTAATTATAATTTGCCATGAACGATACAAATTTTTTGCCATTAAAGTGCCAATAATGAGCCATTACTGGGCCGATGGTCGGCACATCACTGGCAATTGTCTTTTGCCATTAAAGATTGATCAACTTTGCCATGAATGTGCCATTATTGGGCCGAGAGCTGGCCCAGTCTTAAAAAATTTGAAATTCTGACCATCGGCGTCATCATTGGCCCAGTAATGGGACGTTTTGAACACCAATAATGGCCCAGTAACTACTGCCAATTCTCGGCAAACATTACTGCACCAATGATGGGCCGTTTTTGCAGTCTTGGCATTTCGCACTTGGGAATGTCCCCTTAATTGAAAAGTTATAGAATTTGTCTAAATAAACAACAATCAACTTAATTTAATATCTATTTAATAACTGTAACATGAAAGAAAATTTTGTTGTAATAAAATATTAACATTTAATAATTCATTTTACTAAACATTTAATCAATTATAAATTTTTCTGTTTAATAATTTGCATTCAATGAAAGCTGCTTAGACATAAATTCTGAAAAATGACATTTTGTCGCAATTTAAGTTTTGAAATATGCAAGTTTTAATAAATGTAAACTTTCAATTATAAACTATTTATTACCTAAAATATTTGCTAAACTATAATTCTATATTTAACAAAAATTTTATAAATTATGAAATTCATCCTGGAAATTTAATTATTTTCAAAAGTCCTAATAAAATTCTTTTTGAAATTGAATTGTCCTTAGAAGTAAGAAAATTCTAGACAGAAATGAAATTATTTTCAAATACTTCTAAAAATTTTAATTTTCTTTATAAATATCAAAATTCTTCTGCAAAATTCAATTATCTTTAAAAGTAATAAAATTTTTCTCTAAAATTCAATTATTTGCAAAAAATTTTAATAAAATTCTTGTCAAAATATAAATTATGTTTATGAATAATAAATTTCATGCTAGAAATTCAATTATTTTTTATTTTTCTTTAAATTTCTTGTTAAAATTATAATTATCTTTATGAATAATAAAATTCACTATTCTATTTTGTAAACAATTTAGTAAAGATAAGAGCGTATTGTTTTTGTAAATAGGGAGGAATGAGAAAAGAAGAAACACTTATGTAAAAAAGGCTACAGGCCTATTGTTACATTACTTGTAAATAAAAAAAAATAAAAAAATGAATAATAAAATTCATCCTGAAAATTTAATTATTTTCAAAAGTCCTAATGAAATTCTTTGTAAAATTAAATTGTCTTTAGAAGTAAGAAAATTCTAGACAGAAATGAAATTATTTTCAAAAATTTTTTTCAAATTCTTCTTAATATTTAAATTATCTTTATAAATATCAAAATTATTTTGCAAAATTCAATTGTCTTTATAAGTAATAAAATTCTGCTCTAAAATTCAATTATTCGCAATGATTATAAATAAAAATTGTGCTCTCTAAATCTGAATCAGCGAAATTTCACTGATTCTCAGCGATAAGTATGCCACTATTTTAAAACAGCGTATATGCGCTAATTAATCAGTGAAGTTTCACTGATTATTTAGTGAAATTTCACTAATTCACAGCGTATATACGCTAATTGAAATAGTGGCATACTTATCGCTGATTGAGATTTAGGGAGTGAAAAAATTTGTTTTTATTATAATATCGACATTCAATTACAAAAATATGTTGTTGTTAATTTTAAACACTGCTCTCAATCATGAAAAAAAAATTCTTATAATCTCCCGAAAATGTAATGTGCATATAGGGCATGCCTCCCCGTGGTACCGGAATCTGCACTCCGGACAAAAGCAAAGGTGTCCACAGGGGACACAGGCATAGTTTGCATTGTTTTGCAAACAAATGCAACACCTTCGTGTGTCCCCGTTGTGGACTTCTGCTGCCGGAGCTGGTGGTTGCCGGTTTTCCTGTGGCGGAATAGGCTGTTGGGGCGGTTGAGGTGGTGCTGCTCCTTACAGATGCTCAAAGAAAAAATTATCTCCAGCCAAGAGCTCTACAACTAAAAAAGTAATTTAATTATCGAAAAATTCAGCTAATAATTTAATGTTTTATAATAATTACAACTTTCTACTTTGTTATTGTAACTTCTTCAAAAATTGTTTTCATCATTACGATTATTCATTTCTAGAATTTTCAACTAAAATTCTTCATTTTTTTTATGAATTTTTTTAAAAGTTGAAGGAAGTTAATTTATCATTCGGTGATTAAATATTAAATTTGAAGAAGTTAACAATTTTTCCCGAATAAATCAACACAAATAAATTAAATATCTTAATAAATAAATCTCGATAAGCTCCCAGTAATAAGGGGTGAATTAAAGTGGATTGGCACTTTTATGCTCTTAAATTCCAAACCAATTCCGTTTTTGTCCGCAATCTTAATGAATTCCTTTTCTATTGTTAAATTGATAATTTCTATCCATTTCAATTCTCTGTAACCACGTGACTAGAATTTGAAACCCCTTTAATGCCCTTTAAAGAATTCAATGTTAATTAAAAGGCATTAACTCCACAACAAATGATTCCTTTAAACGGCATTAAAGTAAATTCAGACTCTGGTCACGTAGTTACAGAGAATTGAATTGGATAGAAATTATCAACTTAACAATAGAAAAGGAATTCATTAAGATTGCGGACAAAAACGGAATTGGTTTGGAATTTAAGGGCATAAAAGTACCAATCCACTTTAATTCACTCCTTATTACTGGGCTCATGGGCTTTTTTTTTAAAGTTATTTGAGAATTTAAAAATTTTTTTGTTTACAATTTCATTTTTCGAAATGTCAATTATTCTGACATTCCTCAATTAAATATATTAGAAATTAAAAACTTTCTATAATTAAAAAAAATATCTTTAAACTTTTTGAACAAAATTAATTCTACAGAGAATTTCAAAGATTTAAATTTGAAAACTTTCGAAAATTAAATTATTTCCATAAATCCACGCTATAATGATATCAATATTCAATTATAATCTACAATTTTAACTAAAATTAATTTTTAAATTAATATTTATTAGAAAATTATAGGAGAATTCTATTATTTAACTACAAAAATAAATGTTTTATTAAATAATATAATGTTTCTTAAAATTGAATTTTCATAAAGAATTTTACCAACAAAATTTTTTAATAATTTAATTCTCTTGACAAATTTTAATAACATTTTTAAGAATAATTTCATTTTTCGAGAAATTTGATGAAAATTGTATTAAAAATAATTGAAATTCTGCCAAGAAATTTACTATAATTTTTGAAAATAATTGAATTTCGGAGAGGAATTTTATTTTTTATAAAGATAATTGAAATTTAGACGAGAATTTTTGTAAATTTTTGAACGTAATTGGATTTTTGCGAAGAATTATAATACTTTAAAAAAAATTGAATTCTTGAGGCGAATTTTAATCAAATTTTTCTTTAAATAATTGAATTTTTTGTGAAATTTTATCGAAATAGTAGGCATTGAAAATAATTGAATTTTGACAAATTTTTGAAATTTATTAAATTTCTACTAAGAATTTAATGAAAAGTATGTTGAAAAGAATTTTATTGTTGCAAGAAATTTCATTATTTATGAAAATAATTCAAATTTTTGAAGAAATTTAATTAAAAATATATTGGAAATAATTAAGAGCAAAAAATTTTTTTTTTCTGTAGAGATTTTTATATGACGATGTCTCAAAAATTTTTCAATGTGTGTAATACCCTCCTCTCCCGATAGAGGCAGTACTGAATGCGCGGTTTAATTCAAACAAATTAAACCAAATTAATTTACAAACAAAATAATTAATATCATTGGCAAGCAACATGGGTATATCGACTAAAATATTTCTCACGACAAAATCTTAAGCGAAAAAGAATTGTAAAGATGAATACAATAAGTATGTAGTAGAGAAGACGAAACTTAATCCTTAGCAATAAATATTAAGGGATTTTATTTAGTACATAAGCCTAAAATAATATACTGGTTTCAGTTATTTGTCACGATTGGAAATTCCTATTTTTTATAGTTTCATTTGCTTGTTTAGGAAACTCGAGAAATTCGCTCATCTGGTTACCATAAAACCCTAAGATCCTTTTTTGCCTGGGTAATAAAAAAGGGGACACTATTGTTTCGTCATCCCTACTACATAGAGAATTCAGTAAAATTAGAAACACCTTCTTTTTCCGCCTTTTTGGGTTTTTCCACTTTTTAACGAATCAAAAATGAAGAGGCGTACTTATGTTCTCCTCCTGGACACTCGGCGGTGGGGGCAGAGGCCCCCAGGATGGGACCATTGGTCTTGGAGAGAAAATGTAAGGCAGAAAGTTGCTAACTCGAAAGAGATAAAGACCTTTTCGGATAAAGTCGTCTTGTAATTTCTTATATTGATAGAAATAAATTAACTAACTTTGTAAACGTTAAATATTTCGATTCATTTAAAGAAACACCTCTATTATTTTCCATTTCAATAATTAGTAAATAATTCACCGCGGGAGTTGAGCTTCTTAGCTCTTCATTGTGGAAACGGACCATCATCGTCGAGGATTCCGCTTCGAGATAAACAACAATTCTAAATTTAAAGACAATACTAAAATCCTAATAAAAGTTTAAATTTTTAGAACTTTACCGCGTAAAGTAACTCGGCGCGTCACACCAATGCACACGTGGCGCCATCAGCCGGTGAACAACATCATATGTGCAATTATCAACTGAAAGTTTCTAGTCTTCTTGACTCTATATAGCAGAGCTATATAACAGAGAGTTCTTGATACGTTTGTAATTATAATTAAAGATTTTGTTGTTTACAATTGTTTCTGTGCAAAGTTTTATCAGTTCTTATATGTAACGATGAACAAAGATTTTGTGTGGAACGGTTATCGATATAATGTTCACAGCACTAAAAATATTACCACGCAAGTATACTTTATGCAATTCAAATTTTTTAAAATGTAAAATAATTAGAATTTTCACAATTATTTTAAAAATATTTTCAATATAAACCCAGTGAAGAAAAATATCCTTGTTTTATAAACGTTCTTTAAACGTTTTAGAAAAAGAAAAGAATGACTTTTACAAAGAAATTGATAAAAGCCGAAAACGATCTCAAACATAACCTACAATTTTATGTTCAGGAAATCTTTCTCAGCGCATTATTTGTTATTGAATGAAAATATTTTAAAGTTCATAATAATTTTTTGGTATTGTGTTTAAATATTTTAAAAAATTCAGTTGAAAATAAAATTTAAGAATCAAAGAAAATCTTAAATGAATCGTCAATTGAACTAAACGGGGCTGCAATTGACGCTTTTGTTATTTTTTTATTGATTAATTTGCTTAAATAATAAATATCTATAATTGATTCTATAATAATCTATAATAAACAAATTCTACAATAATCAATTTGTATAAATTTAATTTAAATTAAAAAATGTAATGTCATAATTTTATCCTACTTCATATTTAACTGTAAAATGAAATATTGCACATAATTTCTAACATAAATCCATAACAAACGTAATATTAATGTTGTATAAGTAATTATGAGTTCAATAGATAAATAAATTTTCTTAATGGAAAATCTTTACAGATACTATGTATGTACAAAATACAGAAGTAACTTGTGCCGAGGTGCTGGGAATACGAAAAATGGAAATTTCACTCTCACTTGCAATCACACGCATCCGCCAAATGCATTGGAACTGAAGGAAAGAGCGTTTAAACGAGCACTTTACGCTGAAGTAATTGAAAGTAGAGAAACTTCTAGAAAGATTTATGATAAACTTCGTCCAGCGTAAGTAATGGTTTAACAATACAAAATATACAAATTAACTTTCTTTACGCTTATTGAAGAAAAATTTTTGTTTATTAAGAAAACGATTAAAGAATGTCAGAGAATTTCATTCAAAGTTAAGAAAATTTCTATAAATTTATAGAAAAATTAATTGTTTTTAATTTAACACAACCTAAAACATTTTTATCACCGTTTGTTTCTATCATTAGATATAAATTTATTATTAAAATTGTCAGTTACCATATTTTTGTCCCAAGAAAGCAAAAATAAAATTAGTAAACAGTAATGAAAAAAGTCAATAAAAGTCAGAGAAATTTTTTTATCAATTCTTGTTAGACACCCTGACGATATACGAATATGCAATAAGTTTGATTCTATAAAAATTAAGTTCAATTCAATTATAAAATATGTTTAACTCTATTAATACCAAGTAAAAATTTATAACATTTTAAAATAATAAAACGAAAAAACAACGAGACTATATCTGTTAATTTGGCTTCGGAATCCAGTTATTACTGAGTTGCTGTTTCCTAAAAAAGGATTTCACCTTTTAAAAATTGGGGATGAACTAATTAAAGAAAAAAGAATTCCTTTTTAAAAATCTTGTGGACTTTAGTATAACTGATTTTTTTTTAATTTAGACATGCCGAAGCATCTGTCAACATAACATTTCCATCTATTGAAAGTTCGATGTATAAATGGCGAACAGGATTTGTGCCTCCATTACCAAATTCGTTTGCTTCCTACACAGAAATTGTAAACTCCAATGAATGGAATCATATGTTAACGTACAGTAATTCATATGAATTAAACGTTTCTTTCGAAGTTGCTGAAGACAGAACTCAAGCAATTGTATTTACAGATATAAATTTTGCTAGTACCATTATAAATGATGGCGTGGTATTTATAGATGCCACATACAAAGTTGTACCACGTTTAAACAAAGCATTCCAACTTTTGACACTCATGACAAAGAAGTTTGGTCATGTAAGTATACTTTTTGTAATATTTATATACAATTTTTTACAATGCTAAAATGGTGAAGAAATACTTCGCCATAATTATAATATTTCAATATATAATTTATTTTTAAATGTTTAGGCAATTCCTTTTGCTTGGGCGATCATGAATAAACGAACAACTTTTACGTATGCAGCTGTATTCAGTAAATTAAAAGCGTTACTACCTGGATTTACAATAAAGGAATCGATGACTGACTTCGAAGTAGCGTTACGCAATGCGTTGCGAAAAGAATTCCCAGAAATAGACTTGCATGGATGTCTTTATCATAAAACTACGGTAAAGTATTTATAGTAGCTGTTACACTGAAAAAAATGTTTAGATGTTCCACCTAAAAGTATAACTGGATTTTGTTTTGCAAAACATTTAACTACAACAGTTAAAATTATGACTGCCTGTGTTAAAATTTTAGCAGTAATATCTTTTGCTTTCTTATAAAAGAAGGATTGTATTCGCAAAATTTTCGGTTGTAATTTTTTAATATATTTCGATGCAATTTGACCTCAGAAATCCAAAAACGTATTTTTAAACGATATTCGAATGTGTGTGCACTAACATAACATTCGCCACATAATCTCAAAAGCAGAAAGATCCGTAGACTTAAATTTTTGTAAATTGTAGGTTTCCCCGAAGGACATAAAATGAGAGTATTTTCAGCCCGATTCATAAATTTATTTGCATTTTTTATTTTGTATAAAAATCGTTTTTTGGCCACAACTTTAAGAAAAAGTTGGGACACTTATAAATGATTTTCCTTAGTTTTGTACAGTTTTTTCATATACATATTTTCAGCCTTCATTGAACATTTTTCCTACATATTAACCAGAAATATTAAACTTTTAGAAATCTAAAATCTTGGAAAATAATACTCTTTTTGAAAATTTATTTTAAAAATGTAAAGATAACTTTAAAAGTATCATTACCAACTTGTAAAGCACAGTAGACTTCCCCCTTAAAAAACATTTTAATTGACCAACTGTTTACCATATTTCTAGATATTATTTTCCATATCCCACAAATAATTGTGTTGAATGGAATTTTTTTTATTTAAGATGACTTTCTATCAAACAGAAATTGGCATTTTTTTAATACAACGTTTTTAAATAAGAAATTACTTAAATGGAAAATCTGTTTAATAATAATTTGTTATTTTTGTACATAAGTTAAAATTAGCTTTTATATCATTTATGTTATATCAATTTTGTTAGTAACTCTAATAAAGATACAAAAACTGTAACACATTATAACAACAGAAAAACCGCTGACAAGTTGTATATTTTTTTGTATAATTTTGGTGACAGAATGATAGAAACACATGAATAACTTTTTATAAATATTGTAAAAGTGATTGAATTTTGGGCCAATCAATTTATTTTTAAATACCCTACAAGATAATTGCAATAATTTAATAGTTAAATAAAAATTTTCAAACAAAAAAGTTGAAAAAATGTCATTTTTCACAATTTTTAGTTCTTAAAATACCAATAATTTAGAAATTTATTATCAAATTAGGTTCAAAAAGAGGTCAATCGGAACGTTTTTTAATGCTCTACAAGTTGAAAATGATAATTTTCATGTTACTACTACGTTTTTCAACAAAATTTCCAAAAAAGTCTTATTTTCCAAAATTTTTGATTTTTAAAAGTTTAGTATCTCCGGTCAATATGGACGAAAAATGTTTAATTAGGACTCAAAAGATGCGTGTAGAAAAACTACAAAATTATGGAAAAACATTTATAGGTGTCCTAACATTTTTTTAAACTTATGGGGAAAAAACTTTTTTTTGCAAAATTAAAATTCCAAAAAAAATTTATTTAAACTTTATTAATCTATCAGAAAGTACTCTCATTTTATGTCCGCAGGTGAGATCTACAATTTAAAAAAAAGTCCTCTATTAGGAAGTAACAATAAAATCAATGGAATAATTAGGAAAATGAGAATAATAAAGATAATAACAGTAATGATAATTTTATGATATACTTCTTTTCAGGCGTTGTACAGAAAAGTTAAAAATTTAAATTTGCAAGAAGTTTTATTTAAAACAGATGAAGGATATAATTTCTTAAGACATTTGTCAGCCTTGCCGTTATTGCCACCGAATGAAATTCGACAGACGTACAACGAAATTCTTCGTTCACTGACCTTGCAAACCCGAACAAAAATCACACTTTTCATAAAATATTATGAAAAGGAGTGGCTAAGGAAAGTCACACCAGAAGTTTTTAGTGTTTTTGGGTTGACGGATAGAACCAACAACGTCTTGGAAGCAAATAACCGCCAAATGAAGCAGAAGCTTGGAGTAAAACCAAAAATTTGGTGTTTCACAGGTAAGTAAGTATCGCCATTGTCTTTGTTTGCATGCCGGACTAAGTGGCTATCCATTTTTAAAGATTTATTGGTATAATCAGGGTGGCCACCGAACCTTGAAACCTTGAAAACCTTGAAATGGACGTGAATTTTGTCAAACCTTTAAGAAACCGTAAATTTGACGTGAATTTTTTTAAAACCCTTGAATTTTAGTATTATATATTATTAAAACTGAAAAATTAAATTTTTCGATCATTTTCAAAAAATTTTTTTTTTAAATTAAAATTTTTCAAGGTTTCAACAGGTCAGTAAAATCAGGGAATTCAAAAAATGGCAGGGAAAATATAATTGGTCAGGGAAAAGTCAACGATTTTTATTAAAGAAATTGAAAAATATGTAAAATTTTAATTATTTTCAAAAAAATTTTCTCACTTCAATGATTTTCAAATATGTAAGTACAGTTTTAATAAAAATTTTTAAAAGAATTCAATTATTTAAAAAAAATTGATAAAATTCTAAGCAAACTTCGCAATAATTCAATTATTTTCATAAATAATAAAATTTATTACAAAAATCCAATTATTTTCATGAATAATAAAATTCATCATAGAATTTCAATTATTTTTAATACAATTTTAATAATTGAATTCCTCGAAAAATTTAATTATTCTTTAAAATTTTAGTAAAATTTCTCGAAAAAATTCAAATTTATTGATAAAATTCTTTATGATAATTTAGTTTCGAAAAACATTCATTTATTCAATAAATTATTTTTTTTGTATTTAAATAATTGAATTCTTGTAAAATTTTCCAATAAAAATTGATTTAAAAATGAATATTAGTTAAAATTTTAGATAATAATTGAGTATTAAATGCATTATAGCATGAATTTTTAAAAATACATAACTGATAAAATAAATAATTGGATTCTTTCAAAGAATTTTAACAAAATTTTTAAAAATAGATTAGTGACGCATTTTTCGAAGAATTTAATTAAAATTGTATTAAAAATAATTGAAATCCTGTGAAGAATTTTATAATTTTTTAGGAGAATAATTGAATTCTTGCAAAGAATTTTATCAATATTTTTTTAAATAATTGAATTCATATGGAAAATTTTATTACTTGTAAAAATAATTGAATTTATGCAATGAATTTTATTACATTTCATTTAAATAATTATATTCTTTTGAGAACTTGTATTAAAAATGTAAATTTAAAAAAAATTTGAATTTCAGCGAAGAATTTCATTATTTGTGAAATGTACCTTATGTAATTGTTGAAAAAAAATTTTGAAGATAATTTAATTGTTCGAGAAATTTATTTAAAATTGTATTAAAAATAATTGAAACCATGTGAAGAATTTTATTATTTATGAAAATAATTGAATTCTTGCAACGAATTTTATTATAATTTTTGTAAATAATTTAATTTTTTTTTGGAAAATTTTCTGGAAATTAAAATTGATATCTTAATGTTTTATAATTGTATTCTTATAAGTTGTTGAATTTTAAAAATGTTTGAATTTGAATGTTTTAAAGAATTTTAATTCTTATGGAAAAATAATAATTAAATACTTATTTAAAAACTTAGTTATTGATGTTTGCCAATAATTTTACAATTTAAGAAATTCACAAGTAAATGTAATAAAATGTTTTTTTGAGTGTCTAATAATTTTTAGAGTGAATCAGAATATTCTTTATGGTCAGGGAAAAAGTGAAAATTTTTTCTGGAAATCAGGGAAAAGTCAGGGAAAAATAAAATTAAATATTTGTGGCAACCCTGAATTTTTAAAAATTTATACTATTGATTGTTCAGAATCGTAAGAAAAGCCTATAAAAAAATTCGGCAATAAAAAATATTAAAAAATGTGGAAGTAAAATTGGAACCAACAAAAAAACCTTTGAAAATTTCCTAGAAAACTTGAAAAAACCGGGAAATATACGTGAATTTTATTCACGAATTTTTGTGGCCACCCTGATAAAGTATAGGTGTCTCTGAAAAAAAGTTGCGCAATTAAATGATCTTTAAAAAAAGCCATCGAAAAATGAAATCGGTTGATTTGTTTAGTCACAAGAGTAAAAAAACCGTTAGTATGGCCGGTTTGCCCCACTCTCCCCTACTCTTAAACAATTAAACATACAAATTTGGCCAAATACAGTTTCGAAAGGTTCTTTCATATTCTTTGGATTGGAAATAAGCATTTTGAAAAAAAAAATTTGTTGACCAAAAAAAAATCGTATTCCCCCCCAAAAAATTAATATTTATTTTTAATTTTGATTTTTTCTTGGTAAAAAAAAATTTTTTTCAAAATGTTTCCTTCCAATCGAAAGAACATTGAGAAACCTTTCGAAAATATACTTGGCCAAATTTTTATGTTTAATTGTTTAAGAGTAAAAAATTAATGTTGAAACAGTTTATTATTGTTACCTTAAAATAGAATTATTCTTCATCTAAAATTATTAACTAATTATTATGTTTCATCAATATTATTAATATACACAGGAATTTAATTACTTTCAGTACAATTTAAATGAAACTTCTTTAAAGAATTCCATTATTTTTCCTACTTTTCCATATAAAAATTTGCTATAATATACAGAGCTCGGATTGTACGCCTTTTTCGTCTTTCTAAGAAAATGTGACTTTTTTGTTAAAAATTGCGACTAATCGACTTTTTTCAGATTTTTTTTAATAAAATGCGAATAAAATTTAAAATTTTTTTTAAATTTAAAGAAAAAAGTTTGAGTCAAAAAAATGTTCTGTTACATTTATTTACAAATTTCTTTCAAATTTTTCGAAAACATTAATAACTTCTAACATTTTTCAAAAGATTCAAATTCAAACCTTTTTACAATTAAACAACTTATAAAAAATTATTATAAAACATGAAGAAATCGATAATTCCGACTCTTCGACTCGGAGCAATCGATTTCTTCATGTTTTATAATAAATTAAAGATGACCAAGTGATAAAACAATTATTTTATATTATAAGAATTTATAAAAAGCAAAAATTTAATTATTTTTTATGAAAAGAATTGAATTATTGGAAAAAAATTTCTAAAACATTATTAATTAATTAAATTTTGCAGAAGAATTTTGATATTTATAAATATAATAGAAATTTTGAGAAGAATTTAAAAAGAATTTTTTAAATAATTGAATTTCTGCGAAGAATTTTTTTAATTTTGAAGATAATTGAATTTTGCAAAAAATTTTATCAGAACTTTTAAAAAGAATTAAATTTCCAGTATGAATTTTATTATTTATTAAGATAATGATAATTTTGACGAGAAATTTTCAGAAAATTTTGAGAATAATTGAATTTCTGCGAAGAATTTTATTACTTTTGAAAATAATTGAATTTCTAGAATGAATTTTATTATTTATAAGGATAATTAAAATTTTGCCAAAAATTTTATTAAAATTCTTTGCAAATAATTAAATTTCAGAGAAGAATTTTATTATTCACAAAGATAATTGAAATTTTAAAAATATTTTTCTTAAAAGTAATTGAATTTTGCAGACGAATTTTGATATTTACAAACATAATTGAAATTTGGAAAATAATTGAATTTTTATAATGAATTTTATTATTTATAAAATTTTGACGAAAAATTAAAAAAAAATTTTGAATATAATTTAATTTCTGCGAGGACTTTTATTACTTTTGAAAATAATTCAATTTCAGAGAAAAATAATATATAAGATTTCAATTATTTTTAATACCATTTCAACGAAATTTGAAAAATTTTAATTTTCTTTAAAGTAATTAAATTATTTTAAAAATTTTTAGACAATAAATAAATAAAAGATACAAAAATAAATAAAAAGGAAATAATATTTTTTCAGAAAAACTTGTGAAAATCCAAGAAGGCATCAGGCTTGACGTGCAATCTTTAGCACACGGGAAACCAATAACTAGATTACCGTCATTAGAAAATGTAGTTAAAAACAAATTAGTTTCTGATGGGTGGAAAAGATTAAGTCTAGAAAATCGACCAACATCGTTGGAATTCATTGAATCTATGATTCTCACATTCATAAATCCAATTTATGAATATTTGAATCATATTGAAGAAGAAGAAGAAGAAGAAGAATAAAACAGTTGATTCGTAGATTTCAAGATAAGTAGATAAGTAGATAAAAAGATAAGATAAGTAGATTCGTACCTACTCTAGAATTTTTAATTATTTTAAATTTAAAATTTCGAAGAAAAGAGTAAGGTCAATTTTATAAAAAAAATTATAACAACTTGTAATGTTTCAACGACAAATGACGACAATATTTACTCACGACTGTATAATAAAATGTATTGCGTTCTACAATTAAAAATATAAATATAATTTTGTTTAATATAAAATGTGATTTTATTTCGAATTTATAATAGCAATAATAATAATAACAACAATAATAATAATAATAATAATAATAATAATAATAATAATAATAATAATAATAATAATAATAATAATAATAATAATAATAATAATAATTTAAAATTTATGAAAAAAGAAAAATACAATTTATGTGAAAGAAATTGTCACAAATTCGAGGAGAATAAGGTTTAATATAAATTTTTCTTAAAAATTTGTTTATTCAGGGTTCCTAAAGAATCTGGAAATCATGGAAAAGAACTGGAATTTTTAAAAGTTTCTAAATTTTTCCTGTTTTCCATTTTTTCTCTTGCGAATGGCCATTTTTGCGAATTGTCATTTTTGCGAAATTACATTTTTGAGAAATGTCATTTATGCGAATTGTCACTTTTTCGAATCGCCAATTTTACGAATAATTGTCACTTTTCCGAAAAGTCATTTTTGCGAAAAATACAATAGTGTATCTATATATACTTGCAAGTTTACTATTGTATTTTTCGCAAAAATGACTTTTCGCAAAAGTGCAGTTCGGAAAAATTACATTTGAGGAATAATCATGCGTCCCATGAAATTATATTTAAAATTGCACTGGAATGTCGTAAAAGTTTGACCTATAAATCATGGAAAAGGTATGGAATTTTAATTTCGGATTTCTGTAGGAATCTTGTTATTTATTTACAATAAAAATTTAAGTATTACTTACATATAGAATCTATTTCTTATTTAAAGTAGAGAGTAATGCAATTTAATATTCACTATATAAAGAAATA